TGAAAATAAATTCAACAATTATATATTTAAAATCACAAATGCAGGGGGAGTAGGATGGCATGTTTTACTTTTTTTAAAGGATTATTTTATTGGGGTTAGCAAGTGGCATGGTGGATAAGGTGCTAGACACTCCCACATTGCTGGCCATGGTTTGTGTCTGGGACCTGGTAGCTTGCTTTCTCACTTTCCTTCTCTGTGTGTGTCTCTCTCTGGTCAAATTAAATTGAATGAATGAATAAATAAAATTAAATAAATAATCCTTTAAAAATGAATTTTTACCTTTATTTAGAGAGGGACAGAGTGAATGAGAGAGAGAGAGGGAAAGTGAGAAGCAAGCTTCCAGGTCCAGGACTCAAACTGTGGTCGGCCATGTGGGAGTCCGGCTCCCTTAACCACTATGCCAGCAGTTAGCGTAATGGCTATGTCGCTGGATTCCTATGTAGTCAACTGCAGTTCGCATCCTGGAACCGGTGGCTTAAAACTCATGCCTGGCGCGTGTGCATGGGTGCCCAAGATCCCAAGAGGAGAATGGAGGAGAAGGGACTGTGGCTTGACCACCCTCCTGGGGGTGATTTCTCGCTTTCTGTCTCTGTCTGTGTGCATGCGCCCTATAGCAAAAACCTCTCCCCCTACCCTGACAAAAAAAAAAAAAAAAAATCAAGCCCTATGACAAAAATATTCTTTTTAAGAATTATTTTGTTTTAACTTTAATTATTTATTTGTTTAATTTGACCAGAAAGGGAGAGTGAGACAGAGAAAGACAAGGAGAGTGGGAAAGCAAGCTGCCAGGTCTGGGACTTGAACCGCAGTTAGCCATGTGGAAGTCCAGCGCCCTTAACCACAATGCCACCTGCCAGCCTCAACAAAAATCATAAAAAAAAAAAAAAGAAAAAAAAGCTACTGGTACTTTGTTATAGCAATCCCTACATAGCCTTTAAAGAAAATGGTTATAAGCGCTGCCTTTTGACAGGACCATCCATCATTGGCAAACAAAATCACAAAAATGGTTAAGCCTATGCCCACAGATGGGCTGATAAAGTAAAGATGCCAAATATCCTGAACAAACCACCTGCCATTCTATTGAATCTACCCTACCACCCCTTCCATATAAAGACATAATGCATTCTCTGGGTGTGGAGACAGGGACACTAAAGTTTCTCTGACTTCAGACTCCACCACTGCTGGCCTAAATAAAACTTTTTTGCATAAGAAGTTTACATCCTTAAGTCTTTTATTTTTTTTGGAGAGATTTTTGGTATAGGATCATGTGCTTGCCAGAGAGACAGACAGAAAGAAAGCAAGAAATCACCCCTAAGGGGGATGGCCACGTTGCAATCCCTTTTCCTCCATTCTCCTCTCAGTATTTTGAGTATGCGCACACATGAACCTGGCATGGGTTAAGTCCCTTGGTCCAGACTCAAATCATGGTCAACTACTTGGGAGTCCAGTGACACAACCTTTAGGCCATCTGCTGGTCCCAATGATACGCCACTTTCAACAACCAAAGCACTGCTAGGGCTCAAACCCAAGACCTTCACTTTTTACTATGCACATGCTTTCAGTTAGGCCACAGCACCAGCTCCCTTGAGTCTTTTGTCAAGTTGAACATTTCATTTAATTTACTCCTGGGCAAATATGGTGAAAGGTAAGAGCTGTTCTTCCTACAATAACATGCTTATGTAGCAGAGGGTTAACCTTGGGTACAGATTTCTGAAATTACTGGGGTCCTGAATGCCTTTATTATAGCTCTGAGGTGCTTTTCTCCACAAGGAAAGGCAGGCTAAACCAACCATAGGCTACTGTCCACTTCTACTGCAAGTTCATTTCCTACAGAGTGACGTCACTCACAGAGAAATAACCAATGTTCCAACTACCATTCCAGTCCTGCCTAAATGGCCCATAATATCCTATGTCTTAGCTTGAGTTCTAGTTTTCAAGTATGTCATGACATGTATGGCTTTAAAGGTATACAGACAGGGGCCCGCAGGTGGCGTGGTGATGAAGTCGTTGTACTCCCACATGGTTAACCTTGGTTCCAGTCCCAAACTGGAGCGAGAGAGAAAGAGAGACAGAGAGAAACACAATGAAAGGGAAAGTGAGAAATCAACCCTTAGGGTGGATGTCCATGCTACAGTTCCTTATTCTCCTTTCTTCTCTCAAGATTTTTGGAATGCAGCCAAATGTGCCCAGTGTGATTTTCAAGCCACTGGGTCTGGGACTCTTAACTGTGGTCAGCCATGTCAACACTATGGCATCTGCTAGTCCAAAGGATTTTTAAAAATACACATGGAGGGACCAGAGGATGGCAAGATGGTTATGTCACTGGAGTCCTATGTAGTCAACCATGGTTCAAGTCCTGGACCTGGCAACTTAAACTCACGCCAGGTGCATGTGTGTGCATGCCCAAATGCCCAGGAGAGTAGAGGACAGAGTATTGTGGCATTGGCACCACCCAGAGGGTGATTTCTCACTTTCTGTCTCTCCATCAAGCACATGTGCCCTATAGCAACAGATCTCTCTCTTAAAAGAAAAATATACTGGGCCAGCAGCACACCCACACACCTGTGTCACTGTGTAATAATCTGTTGAGTTCAGGACTCAAATAGTGATGAGCCTTATAGTAGTCTGGCACCTTAAACACTGTTCTACCTGCTGGCCTCAGTCTCTGTTTTTTAAGCTGGATGATTTTTTCACATACTTTACAGTAAAAATAGCTCTCTTAACTATATATTGTCTTGTATGATAGAAAGTTTGTGTAGTAGAAAAAGCTTTTCCACAGTCTTCAAGATTTCTCACCTGTAGGAGCTATTTTATGTTCTCGAAAGTACAAGGACAAGGTAAAGACTTTCCACACTACTTATGTAGGTCCAGTTCTCCTTCAATATGCATCGGACCCTAAAAAACTAAATGTTTACCCACATTATGTACATTAACATGGGTTTGGGACAAACAGATGTCGTAATGGTTATGTGGCTGGACTCCCACATAGTCAGCCATGGTTTGAGTCCCAAACCCAGAGGCTTAAAACTCATGCCAGGTGCATGTGCATGAGTGTCTGAGATCCCAGTAAGAGAATGGAGGAGATGTGACTGTGGCGTGGCCACACCCTCAGGATCGATTTATCACTTTCCCTCTCCCTGTCTCTCTCTCTCTGGCGAGTACACACACTATAATAGAAAAACCTCTCAAAAAATAGAAAATAAAATAAATGTAAAAAATTATTTTGTTGGGAACCAGCAGTTAGCGTAATGGCTATGTCGCTGGACTCCCACGTAGTCGGCCGCGGTTCGTGTCCCGGACCCGGTGGCTTAAACCTCACGCCGGGCGCGTGTGCGTGCGTGCTCAAGATCCCGAGAGGAGAATGGAGGAGAAGGGATTGCGGCGTGACTATCCCCCCTGGGGGGTGATTTCTCGCTTTCTGTCTCTATGTCTCTCTCTGTCTGTCTGGTGAGTGCACGCGCCCTACAGTGAAAATCTCTCCCAAAATTATTTTGTTTAGGGCAAGCAGGTGGCATGGTGGTTAAGTATAATGAACTCCCACGTGGCCCAGGCACAGCTTTGAGTCCTGGACATAGTGGCCTGAAAATCACACCAGACATGTGTGTTTGCATGCTTAAAATCCCAGGAGAAGAATGGAGAAGTTATTGCAGCATGGCCATATACCCGAAGGATGATTTTTCATTTTCCTGTCTTGCTCCAGTGAGCTAACATGCCCTATGAAAAAAGTCAAAAAAAAACAAAAAAAAAAGTCTTTCTTTCACAACAGTGAAAGGCAGAGACAGCAAAAGGCAGAATGAAAGGGAGAGGCACAGTCAACATGTGTTCATACTGCAAACTCCCTACTCTGCCATTCACCAGAAAGGATTTTGATGATGAACTCCTCCTGTTACAGTATAACCCAGAACAAAAATATGCGGTATTCTAGAAAAATCCAGATTGGTTGAGTGAGCAGTATATTACTGGTGCATCACCAGATAAACCTGTCTTCTTAGCCAATCTAATAAATATTCATTCAGAATAACAACATGAACAATGTATTGGGTGGCATTAGCTCCTAACAGGTTAACATGAATTGACACCAAGATGAAAATGAACGAGGGAATACTTGGCAATAATCTAAGACACCTGCAGTACTCCTGAGTCAGCTTACATTGCTAGTTCAAAGTGGATTTAGGCCTGGGAGCCCAAGGACAGGCAGTAGGGATGCTGCTGGCTAATGCTGTAACCACATGGTAAGGACCCAGGACTGTATCCTAAGGTCTACCAGAACAAGAGAAGGAGCCACTGATCCAAACTGCGTGCAGGAATGACGTGGGGGTGGGTCCCTGTCTTTCTCTCTCTGGAAATAAATACATAAGCTTCAAAAACAAAATGGATTTAAATTCATTATAAATGCACACAGCAAACTCTAAAAACAATTTCTTAGCCCCGCCCCCCCCTTGAGACGTGTGTGCTGGAGGGGAGAGACAGAAATAGATTTTAAAAGGTAAACATCGCCACTTCTCCCAAATTCACAAAGCAATCCTTTCTCCTCAGGGCTGGGCTGGGGAAAAGGGCTGAGGCCTTGCAACCCCACCTCCCCCATGTTGAAACACTCGGAGAAAACGGGTGACCCGTGGGGAGAAGGGAGGACTGGATCACAGCCCCTCTCTGCATAGGAACCCCATACTGAGTCGGAATATCCTAATGTCCGTCCTGTCTCGCCCGGAGACCATGTGCCCACGCAGGCACGGGACAGGAAGCCCGGGGGTCCCACTGCGGCCCAACCCCTGCTCCGGGCTGGTGGAGAGTGAACTGGGAGTGGGAGTCCAGTGACTTAGCCACCATGACACCTGCTTGCCCTAAACAAATGATTTTTTTTTAACATTTATTTTATCTTTATTTCTATTTTTTGAGAGGTTTTTCTGTTATGGTGTGTGCACTCGCCAGAGAGGTCCTGGTCCGCCACAGCCGGTTCCGGCAGCTCCCAGCGCCCCTGCTCCCCGTCTCCGCACACTCACCATTTCCCAGCGTCCAGGGTGGCCCCGCGTCCCTCCTACGGTTCCCTCCCACGGTCTGTGCACGCCTCAGAGGCGCCGAGCAGCAGCGAACACGGAGTCACCACACGGGTCAGGAGAGAGCCACACGCCCAGCCCGGCAGCTGACGTAAAGACTCGCGAGACTTCGCTGACAAGCTCGCAGGGCCCGCCTCTCGGTCCCTGATTGGCAAGGCTTCGAGCTCCGCCCCCTGACGCTTAAATGACGGCAGATGCACCCAGAGACATGCAGGACTGCATCGAAATGACAACTCCTTAGCCCGGGCTGGCTGTCCCGGGAGGTTATTTGTTTTTGAGCAGAACCCGCGCCTGGATTTCCAAAGACACTAGCGTCTTTCTGCACCCAATGGGACCTTGCTGTGTTTTCTTCCTGGAAGTGGGGATCACAGTGAGCTCGGGGATTCCAGATCCTGTGGCCAGTGGTATGATCCTCTGGCCTCACAGCAGTAGGGGCGTCCAAACCATGCCACACTGGAACAGGATGAAGGACACGTGATCTCCAAGGGTCATGAACTTTGAGGTAAGGATAACACCCATATGGCCAAGTTCTCCTCACACCTTATCTGACAGTCTAATAATTTTCAGAAACAATCTATAAAAAGAAGGTCCAATAAAACAAAGCAAACATGGTATTAGGGCCAGGGATAAAATTATAATCCAAACAACAGAAAATCCAAGTTGCCCCAAATAATGGGTGCCAATGTGTCAGTCTGCTGGATGATTTTTTAAAAAAATTTTAAGAGAGGTTTTTGCTATAGGGCATGTGCGCTCGCCAGAAAGACAGACAGAAAGTGAGAAATCAACCCCCAGGGGGCATGGCCATGCCACATCCCTTCTCTGTTCTCCTCTCGGGATCTTGGGCATGCATGTACACGAGCCCGGCATGAGTTTAAGCCACCAGGTCCAGGACTCAAACCACAGTCGACTACAGGGGAATCCAGTGATGTAGCCATTACGCCAACATCTGGTTGGAACAAAATTTTAAATGCATTCAAAGAGACCAGCACATGACATAATGGTTACGTCGCTGGACTCCCACATAGCCTACTGTAGTTTGAGTCCTGGAACCAGTGGCTTTAAATTCACACCTAGCGTGCATTCGTGCATGCCCAAAATCCAGAGAGGAGAATGAAGGAGAAGGGATTGCATTGAGGCCATTCCCCCGGGGGTGAGAGGGAGAGATTTCTTGCTTTCTGGCAAGTACATGCACCCTGTAGCAAAAAAAATCTCTCCAAAATAAATAAACTAATTAAAAGACATTCAGAAACTATATTAAGCTATAACAGGAAACATGTCTTCATAAGAGGGAGGTGACTGTTCTCCCACAAAGGTATTGAGTCACTGTGCAATACTTAAGAGAAATGAACTCTCACATGATGGTTTTTGAAGGCACCAGTGTACTGTCTAAGCTGAATAAAGAACATAATCATTACCACTATGGATGAGATTTTTCCTGTACAAATTACTTATCACATCAATTAATTCCAAAATTAAGAGAGCCATGGAATACTCCAAACCATGACAGTCTGAACTGGTTGCCTGTTACACAAATTAAGACTTACAATAAAATGGAGATCATAGATTAACCCTTGATGTGAAGCTTTTGTAGGAATCTGTGGCAAGCTAAAACTTAAAAACAGAACTTCAGGGAACCAGCAGTTAGCGTAATGGCTATGTCGCTGGACTCCCACGTAGTCGACCGCGGTTCGCGTCCCGGACCTGGTGGCTTAAAACTCACGCCGGGCGCGTGTGCGTGCGTGCCCAAGATCCCGAGAGGAGAATGGAGGAGAAGGGATTGCGGCGTGACCATCCTCCCTGGGGGGTGATTTCTCGCTTTCTGTCTCTATGTCTCTCTCTGTCTGTCTGGCGAGCGCACGCGCCCTACAGTGAAAATCTCTCCAAAAAAAAAAACAAAAAAACAGAACTTCAGTCCAGCAGGGACTGTGGTTGATACAGCACAACACTCTGACATGTCCAACTGTGGTTCAAGTCCCAGACTTGGTGACTTGAAATATCAAACTGGTTATGTGGATGTACACGTCCAAAATCCTGAGATGAATGGAGGAAAAGGGATTGTGGTGTGGTCATCCCCCAGGAGTCAGGAAGGCATTTGATTTCTCACATTTCCCTCTCACTGTCTGTCTCTGTCGCTAGCAAATGTATGCATCCTTCAGCAAAAATATTTAAAAATCAAAACAAAACAAAATAACTCTGGTAATTGGTGGTGGTTTTGAGTACACTCTTTTGATTGGCAGAATTCAGTATCAAGAAACTGGGCTGCAAACAAGTGTCCACACTGTGTCTATGCATCTGCCTCAAAATTCAAGATCGGGGACCAGCAGTTAGTGTAATGGTTATGTCACTGGACTCCCACGTAGTTGACCGCAGTTCGAGTCCTGGACCCGATGGCTTAAAACTCACACTGGGCACGTGTGCATACATGCCCAAGATCCCAAGAGGAGAATGGAGGAGAAGGGATTGTGATGTGGCCATCCTCCCTGGGGGGTGATTTCTTGCTTTTTATCTCTGTCTCTCTCTGTCTGGCGAGCGCACGCGCCCTATAGCAAAAACCTCTTCAAAAAAAAAAAAAAAGAAAGAAAGAAAAAAGAAAAATTCAGGACCAATGTCACCTTTTTTAAAAAAAAAAAATTCTTGTATTTAACTTTATTTTAAATTTGACCAGAGATGGACAGGCTGAGAGAGAGAGAGAGAGAGAGAGAGAGAAAGAGAAAGAAGGGTAGTGAGAAAGCAAGCCAGCAGGTCTGGGACTTGAACTGCAGTCACTCATGTGGGAGTCCAGCGCCTGTAACCACCATGGCACCTGCCATTCCCTAATGCCATCTTCAATTCTGCCTTCCAAAGTTCATCATCAACACTAACAAAATACAACCCAGAAATCCAATAAAAACTCTAGATTTTATTATTCAATTACAGGTCTTTCATCTCAATTAAGACTCAATAACCAAAGTAACAGACAGATATAAGGAGCAAGATACAAAAATAATTTACATGAGACAGTATGATGATGCATTTTACACTTATAAAGGATAGTATTTTTCTACTAGAAAGGCAACTGCATTAATAATAGATGTCTGTGGGACCAGCAGATGGCATAATGGTTATGTCGCTGGACTCCTAGAGAGCATACTGTGGGTTGAGTCCTGGAACCGGCAGCTTTAAACTTCCACCAGCCACATGTGTGAGTGCTTAAAATCCTGAGAGGAGAATGGAGAAGGAATTGTGGCATAGCCATGCCATCTGGGAGGTGATTTCTTGCTTTCTATGTCTGTGTCTCTCCAGTGAGTGTGTGTACCCTATTATAGCAATAAAACCTCTCAAGAAATAAAAATAATTTTAAAAAAGAGTCTCTGTAATAGGTGTTTTCCATTGTGGTCAAGTCTGTAGTACAAAAATCCCTCATGGGGCCTGGTCATATCTCAACTCTCTCTCCATTTCCTCATGATTTTGGTCACATATATCCCCAGTGTTCTTCTAGCAGCTCCACCTGGGATTCATACACCACTCAGTCATGAAGGGGCTGGCTTCAATAATAAGTACACAGTAGCTTTCCCTTTTTTTTTTTTTTTTTCCTAAAAGATTTTTGCCATAAGGCACATGTGCTTGTAACAGAGAGGGAAAATGAGAAATCACTATACAAGGAAGGGATGGCCATGACACACTACCTTCTCCTCCACTCTCCTGCCAGGATTTTGGGCACACAGGCCAGTGCCCTACATAGTTATTAAACTGCCTAGTCCAAGACTCGAACTGATGTCAGCCATGTAGGAGTACATGCCTTAACCACTGTGCCACCTGTTGGCCTCAGTCTCAGTTTTTATGCCTATTAATTTTTTTTCAAACATCTTATAATAAGAGGTCTTTTCAATGTATATTGTCTTGCATGATAGAAGATCTGTGATAGTGAACTTTTCCATTCTTGAAGCTTTCTCACCAATAGCTCTTTAATTCATATACTTGAAAGTACATGGACAATCTGAAGACGTTCCTCATTATTTACACAGATATAGTTTTCCTCCAATATACATACTCTCACATACTTAAAAGAACCATAAAAAATGAAAGGCTTACCTACCTGTTAAATATTAACATGGGTTCTCTCCAGCATGAGTTCTTTCATGATTTGAACAAAACTAAGGCTTTCTCCCATATGGAACATTTACACAGCCCATCCTCAATGAGGGCTACCATGTGTCCGAAAATCTGGGACATGAACAAATACTTTCCCACGTTTCATACATCTATGAGGTTTCTCTCCTTTAAGTTCTATCTTCGTAAACAACGAGAGAGCTTTTCCCATATTGCTTACATTCACAGGGTTTCTCTCCCGTGTGTTCTTCCATTTATTTTAAAGTTTGTTCAAGTAGAAAAACTTTCTCACATTACACCTATTTCTTTGGTTTCTCTCCTGTGAGTTTATTATGTTTTTGAAAACTATACGCTGAGAAGGCTTTTTCCACATTTTCTACACTAGGAGGACTCCTCTCCACTGTTTTTACAAGTCTTGACCGTGACCAGGACAAGAGGTTTTCCCACATTGCTTACATTAATAGGATTTCTCTCCAGTGAGTTCTTCCAAGATTATGAAAGTAGAAAGAGAGGTGGCTTTAACAAACAACTTACACTGATACCATTTGTATCTTCTTTCATATTTTTCTAACAACAATGAATGACAAAAGGCTCTCTCACACTGCTTACATTAATAGGGTTTTTCTCCTTTGTGAATTCTTTAATACGAATGAAGAGAACTGGATTGACTAAAGCATTTTCCACATTCCTTACAATTATATGGTTTATCTCCTGTGTGAGTTCTTTCATGAATACAAAAGGAACTGGGACAGTTAAAGGCATTCCCACATTCCTTACATGCATAGGGTTTCATTCCTGCATGACATTTTACATGGAAATGAAAGGAACTAGGACAGCCAAAATCTTTCCTATTGTTTACATTCAGCCGGTTTCACTCATTGTAAATTCTTTCATGTGTCTAAACAGAACCCAGGCATTTAAAGGCTTTCCCACGTTCCTTATATTCATGGGGTTTCTCTCCAGTGTGAGTCCTTTTATGGAGATGAAAAGTACTGTTAGAACTAAAGGCTTTCCCACATTCCTTTTGTTCATAGGGTTTCTCATCTCTGTGCATTCTTTCATGTCTTCGAAAGGAACTACAATAACTAAAGGCTTTCCCACATTCTTTACATTCATAGGGTTTCTCTCCTGTGTGAATTCTTTCATGCATACGAAAAGAACGTGGACAACTAAAGGCTTTTCCACATTCCTTACATTCATAGGGTTTCTCTCCTGTGTGACTTCTTTCATGAATACGAAAGGAACTAGGACAACTAAAGGCTTTCCCACATACCTTACATGCATAAGGTTTCAATCCAGTGTGAATTCTTTTATGTTTTCGAAGACCTCTAGCACAAAGAAAGGCTTTCCCACATTCCTTACATTCATAGGGCTTCTCTCCTGTATGAGTTCTTTTATGAACACGAAAGGAATTTGGACAACTAAAGACTTTCCCACATTCCTTACACTCATAGGGTTTCTCTCCTGTGTGTATTCTTTCATGTCTTCGAAAGGAACTAGGACAACTAAAGGCTTTTCCACATTCCTTACATTCATAAGGTTTCACTCCAGTGTGAATTCTTTCATGTTTTCTAAGAGAACCAGAATAACTAAAGGCTTTTCCACATTCCTTACATTCATAGGGTTTCCCTCTGTGTGTTCTTTCATGTTTTCGAAGAGAACTACAATAACTAAAGGCTTTCCCGCATTCCTTACATTCATAGGGTTTTTCTCCTGTGTGATTTCTTTTATGAATAAGAAAGTAATATGGATTACTAAAGGCTTTCCCACATTCCTTACATTCATAGGGCTTCTCTCCTGTGTGATTTCTCTCATGAATACGAAAGTAATGTGGACTGCTAAAGGCTTTCCCACATTCCTTACATTCATAGGGTTTCTCTCCTGTGTGACTTCTTTCATGAATACGAAAGGAACTGGGACAACTAAAGACTTTTCCACATACCTCACATGCATAGGGATTCAATCCAGTGTGAATTATTTTATGTTTTCGAAGACCTCTGGTGCAAACAAAGGCTTTCCCACATTCTTTACATTCATAGGGTTTCTCTCCTGTGTGAGTTCTTTTATGAACACGGAAAGACTTTGGACAACTAAAGACTTTTCCACATTCCTTACACTGGTAGGGTTTTTCTCCTGTGTGTATTCTTTCATGTCTTCGAAAGGAGCTAGGACAACTAAAGGCTTTTCCACATTCCTTACATTCATAGGGTTTCACTCCAGTGTGAATTCTTTCATGTTTTCGAAGAGAACCAGAATAACTAAAAGTTTTCCCACACATCTTGCACTCATAGGGTTTCTCCCTGTGTGTTCTTTCATGTGTTCGAAGGTAACTACAATAACTAAAGGCTTTCCCACATTCCTTACATTTATAGGGTTTTTCTTTGTGTGTTTTTTCATGTGTTCGAAGGTAACTACAATAACTAAAGGCTTTCCCACATTCCTTACATTTATAGGGTTTTTCTCCTGTGTGATTTTTTTCATGAATACGAATGTAACGTGGACTACTAAAGACTTTCCCACATTCCTTACATTCATAAGGTTTTTCTCCTGTGTGAATTCTTTCATGAATACGACAGGAATACCGACAAAAAAATGCTTTCCCACATTCCTTGCATGAATAGGGTTTCACTCCAGTGTGAATTTTTTCATGTTGTCGAAGAGAACTGGAATAACTAAAGGCTTTACCACATTCTTTACATTCATAGGGCTTCTCGCCTGTGTGAATTCTTTCATGTCTTCTAACCCAACTGGGACATTTAAAAGTGTACCCACATTCCTTACATTCATAGGTTTTAACTCTAATGTGAATTCTTTCATGTCTTTGAAGAGAACTGGGACAATGAAAGGCTTTCCCACATACCTTACACTCATAGGGTTTCTTTCCAGTATGAGTTCTTTCATGGTTTCCAGTAGAACTGGGAGAAATAAAGCCTTTCCCACATTGGGGATACTCATAATGTTTCTTTCCAGTGTTAGCACTTTCATGCTTTTGATCAAAACTAAGATCATCATAGGTTTTCCCACATACATTACATTTACACAATTTCTCTCCCATGTGACTTCTTTTATGGTTTTGAGTAGAACTAAAAGAAGTAAAGCCTTCTCCACCAGGAAGATACACACAGGGTTTCTCTCCAGTGTGTGTTTTTTCATGTAATCCAAATAAATTGTGATCATCAAAAGTTTTACAACATACCTCTGGCTTATAAGGTCCAACTAAAATTTGAGATCTCATGACTCTTTCCACAGTTTTGCTGGAATCGAAGGTTTTTACATTTTGCTGATGATTATGTGGTTTCTTTAGGTATTCTTTACAGTCATAAGGTTTCTGTTCTCTGTGAGCTCTGATAGGCCTACTAAGAGATAAGTGAACCAAGTCTTCTCCACACTCACTGTTTTTGTATGGTTTAAGTCCAGGAGGCATTTGCTCATCTAGGTGGTTGGCTGTAATACAACTGATGGGTTCTTCACATGGACAGCTTTCTTTTCTTTCATATAGTCTCTCTAATACATAACTTCTGTAAAGAATGAGAAGCACATTACTAGAGATTTCAGGATTAGTACATGTGTATTTAACAAGTACTAAATGGGGCCTATGAGTGGCATGGAGGTAAAGGCTCTAGAAGTCATCTTAACAGCATGCCACTGGCTTCTTCCATATTTATTTTCTTAATGCTACTTCCAAATAAACTATTAAGCAAGCCCTAAATGTCTATATCATATTTACATAGTTATTTTTGAAGAAAGATCTGTAGAAATAAATATGTTGAAGCTAAGTTTCCTATGCCTGTTTAAAATTTTATGACAGGCTTTCAAGGGATATTTCTTTGTCTTGTGAGTGTAAATTACCTTTGATTTTTCCAGGTATTTTGATACTGATCTTCAATATTCTGGTCTTCCAATTTTCTCCCTAAAATATATACCCAGAAACATCTGTGAATTATAATGGTATTTTTAAAAACTAGATTCTAGGGTCAAGATAAACTATGACATTGTCTGATTTATCACAAAATATTCCTTTTTCCTTGTTGGAATATTTTGGAAAGGCAATGATGATTAGAAAACACTTGTGTTTAACTTAGTGAAGAAATGCTGTCATCCTTACCAATATACTCCAGGTTCTTGATGGTTTCCCACATCACATCTCTGTAGAGTTTCTTCTGTGAAGGGTCCAGCAAAGCCCATTCCTCCTTGGTGAAGTTCACAACCACATCCTCAAAGACCACTGAGTCCTGCAACATCCCACGTGTGTGGAAGAAAAAGGCTGAGACTAAGAGCACAGGGAATCTACACTCAATTCATAAGTCCACAGGATGCTACAGACTCCATTCATTCTATACTTTGGTCATGAGAATTCATCTCTGTTTACAATCATTTCCTCCTATATAGCAATTATAATGTTAAAACTGGACCCAATAGGTGTTGTGCTGGTTAATGTGGTACACTCCATATGGCCAAGTGTGGTTCGAGTTCTGAACGAAACAGCTTCAAATACAGGCTAGTATGCATGTGTGTTTGTTCCCAGAACCCCACAATGAGACTGGAGAAGGGACAGAGATGTGGTCATGCCCTCTGGTGACTGAATTCTCATGTTTCTTCTCTTCTAGTTGCTGTCTCTGACAAGTATACATTCCCTGTGGTAAAAACCTAAAAATAATTAAAATGATGATAAAACTTATATATTCAGTTCAAAATCAGCAAAACACAAATACCCATCTTTTCATAAACACAGAGTTAAGATGTGCTTTATAGCAAAAATTTCTCTCAAAAGAAAAAAAATGAAGTGAGAAAAATTAGAGTATAAAGAAAAAAATGAATGAAGCAGGGCATGTCACACTGGCCATAAAAGCAACAATTGGTCAATTAGAGAATAACAAGTGTTCAGGACCTTAGCAAAGACATACTTATGCACGTGTGAAGAGGGTTGGGTGACACACTCTATTGCTACTTCCTGTACTTTACCAGATATTATATCTGGGCAATCTCTCTCTCAAGAATTTATTTTGCATTTATTCTTGGAGAAATACACAAGACGATAATCATTTACATTAATGAAAGAAAATGAAGAATCCAATGGAAGGGAGGTTAGTAACATGGCAGTCAGTCTCTCCAATCATCAAACTTCCATAGAAACAAAGCAGAATGTTTAGAAACAACTTTGTCAAAACCCTGGAAAATCACCATTGTAACTGTCCTGTTTGTAAACTACTTTTTTTCCTTCTTACTCTGGTTTGAATTGAGCAATCCAAGTTACTTTATTTTCCATCTCAACTTCTCCTGCCTAAAAGCAGCCCTATAGTGCATGCTGTTCTGGGTACTCCCATCTTCCACTGACTTTAAGACTGTCCTCCCTTGGGGCCGGCAAGTGGCATGGTGGTTAGGGGCGCTGGACTCCCACATGGCCAACCACAGTTCGAGTCTCGGACCTGGTGGCTTGCTTTCTCACTTCCTCTCTCTCTATCTGTCTCTCTCTGATCAAACTGGAAAATAATAATGATAATAATAATAAATAAAATAATTCTATATATATAAAAAAGACTCTCCTCCCAGATGAGTCCTGTCTCATAGCCAGGAGGTAGTAAGATCAAACTTACTAGCATGACAGACTATCCTTTAGCCCTATCATATTTCTTCAAGGTCAGTCATGCTTCCATCAGGGTTACCCTATGAAGTTTCTATAAAATACCTAAAAAACAGGGTTTTTTATTTGCTGTGTTTTTTTTAAAGGATTATTTTTATTTAACTTTACTTATTTATCTATCCATTTATTTTAATTGACCAGAGAGGGACAGTGAGAAGGAGAGAGGGAAAGAAAGCAAGCAAGCCATCAGGTCCAGGACTCAAATCGTAGACAGCCATGTAGGAGTCCAGTGCCCATAACCACCATGCATCTGCTGGTCCCTATTTGTTTTTTAAGAGAGTCCTGCTATTATAGAATGCATGTGCTCACTGGAGAGACAGAGAGACAGAAAGTGAGATATCACCCCCCAGGGCTATGGCTACACTGCAATCCCTTCTCCTCCATTCTTCTCTCAAGATTTTGGGCATGCACACACACCTGGCTGTTATGAATGTTAAGCCACCAGATCTGGGACTTGAACTGCAGTCGAATACGTGGCAGTCCAGCCAGGTAACCATTATGCCATCTGCTGGTCCCATGGTTTTGCTTTTTCTACTCAATGTGAAGACAAAAAAGGCAAATGAAAAATAGTGGAAAAGCTTTCTGGAAGTTTTATTTGTGCCTGTTCAACCTCCTCATACATGGTGGCAGCTTAAAGACAAGTCCTAATTCACAGTGTAGGAACCTTGTTACTTGCTTCGGATAGATTAAGGTAGGTAAGTCTTATTTACAACTTATTCTATTCCTGTCTTTCATATGGTAAGGACCCAGGAGCTATTCCAAGGTCTTCCTGAACAAGTAAGGGAAGTCAGTGATCCTGACTTCCTACAGGGATGAGGTAAGGGTGGGTGTCTTTCTCTGTCTCTGGAAATAAATACATAAGCTTAAAAAAAAAAAAGAATTTAAATTAATTATAAATCCACATTGCTGTAGGGAGCAGCCAGATCTTAGTAACACAATAGTGGCCTTTGAACACAAGCAGAAACACAGTCCTTGTACTGACACTGCAGAGCTAGGGAAAGCTTTAACAAGAATATGATTCTACCTCCGAGTGTTAACACTGCAGGGCAGTGTTGGTTAAAGGAAACTGTATTAGCCACAGAAGGCTCAGGAAGATAAGCGCAAGCTCATATAGGCCAGCAAGACACCAGAGGGTCTACATATTCAGGTGATAACATCAGAAAACAACTGGCTTTGCATTTCGCTGGGAATGTCACGTACACACGGCTGGCTTCATTAGAGTCTGGACCACCAATCCCCACTTCTCTCTACTTGTATCTGTGTCTGGTTGTTCCCAAGCTACCATTGCTCTCACTCAGCTACATGTTCAGTGGAGCAGCTCATAACACATTGCAAACTCTAAAAACAAATTTTTAGGTTTATTTTCCCATGGCACACGTGCACTGGCAGGGGAAAGAGGTATACATAGAAAGTGAGAAATCACACCCATTTACCTCAAGGTCAAAAGCAATCTTTTCTCCTCAGGGCTGGACTGGGGGGAAGGGCTGAGACCTTGAGACCCTGCCTCCCACATGTTGGAATGCTCAGGAGAAATCGACTAACCCATAGGAAGAAAGGAGGTCTTGTGGCCCCACAGACCACAATCCCTTCCTGCACAAGAACCAAGCTAGTGACCATCCTGTCCCCCACCTTAAACCTGAGGATAGGCGGGACTGCCAGCACCAAGATACTCAGACAAGGTTCAGGGTTCCTTACGGGACCAGGTCACAGTACAGTGACAGGACAGAAAGTCCAGGGGTCCAGCTGCCTGCCCAGCCCCTTCCTTAGCCAGAGGGGATCGAGGACCCAGCTGCACTCGAATGCAGAAGCCCTCCTGATATACCTGTATAAGATTAAAGTATCTGCATGCTATTGAAGTTAAATTACTATCAATTACACTTAGATTCTTACAACTGAGACTATCAAACATGATTACCATTAACCAAAAAAACAAAATATTGATTTAAAAATACACAAAAATAGGTGAGCAAGTGGACTGGATATTAAAACAGCTCAATCCACCCTCTTCGACTCTGTGGTTCCAGTCCTAGACCTGAAGGTATGAAAATCTTGCTGGACACATGTGTGTGCGCCCAAAATCCTAAGAGGAAAATGAAGAAAGGATTGTAATATGGCCATGCCTTCGGAGATTATTTCTCACATTCTCTCTTTTCTTCTCTCTCTCTCTGCTCTTTCCATTGAGTATATATGCTCAATAGCAAATAGTATTAAAAAATACTCAAAAGAAAATAAGGATCCAAATGATTCAAAAAGAGAAATAAACAAAACAAAAATCAGCTCGGTCTGGCCCTAAGGCACTCAGATTAATCATAATGCACGGGATGTACGGTATCACCTGGTTGACCATTATTCTAATCTATGAAGGGCTCATAAAAAAGATTCTTAATACAAAGATTATTAAAGCGGGTTTTAAATCACCCTTACCTAAATAATTAAGTAAATTCTCCCAAATTATCAAGCCCTCCAAGATAATCTTCTGTTTTGTTTTAGGTTTTTGTCATAGAGCATGTGTACTCTCTGGAGAGAGAGAGAGAGTGGGAGGGTGAGAAATCATAACCCCCCACCAGGAGGGATGGCCATAATCACAATCCCTTCTCCTCCAATCTCCTCTCAGTATTTACGGCACACATGCACCTGTGCCTGGTGTGATATGAAGCTGGTTATATCGTCTCCCCAGAAAGGAAGGTTTAGACACTGATTGCTACTCTGTCCTGTGACACCTGAGCTTCTGGCTCTGTAAAGGTTCAACATGAATATCTTTTTCTTTTGATTGCACACATATATTTAATAATATAGTTTTACACAGGATGCTAAGAACACTTTTCTTTGTATTTTATAGAAGGGCTTGAAACATACAGACTTTCTATTAATATTCATACCATAGCACATCCAAACCTAACTCCCAAATAGATACATTATGATTTGTTTAGAATTTAAAGGCTTAATGGTAATAATGAGGGGGAAGAGTGTATAAGCTTATTTTACATAACTGACTGACTAATAAATTCAAAAAATAGTAAATAGAATTTAATATGGTCTCATGCGCCCTGAAGGAGGTGGTGCCCAATTTGGAGGGGTAAAGGGTAATGGCTATGTCCAAATAATCTCCTATTTGGAACTTTTGTGACTGCAGGGTCATGGAAACATCAGTTCCCTTTCTGCCAGACATGATGCTGCCAATCTCCTTAACTCACTCGTCTTTTAAGGTCTGTAAAAACAATTGCAAAATTGAAGTTTGTGCCCTTCTTTCTTGATTCTGGGTATACGTTTTTTTACTAAACTAGTCAATTCTTTCAAGGTTGCATCCATCCATGTGTAGATCTGCAGCTCGCTGGACGGTACTTTTCCGCAGGAAAACTCGTCCACTCGGTGGTGGTGGTAACCCACAGCAAAAGAGGGCACGTCTTCTCTCAGTCTATTGGCTTTTCTGGCTCCATCTTAAATTCCTCCTAGGTAACGCGCGACTCCACCATCTTTCTCCTATGGCCTGCGAGACATTCGCCCTGACCTCCGATCCCTGCAGCAAGCATAAGCACCTTTCTTTTTTTTTTAAATAATTATTTTTATTCATTTTAATCTGACCAGAAAAGA